CAAGAGAAAAGGATACAAAAAAAACGTGACAGAGCCAATCAAATTTGTGAATCTGTACGTGGATCATTCTAGAACCCAATTTCCAAATTTGGTATATTCCCTGACTGATATATACAAATGCAATAAAATATTTGAGCATAAGCATATACACTAATGCAAGAAATAATTATTTTTTATTACAATCAGAAATCTGCTGTTTATTAAAGGACTTGAAGCTTCTTTTACTTTTAGTTCTGTCTTCTCTAGAGGTTTATTAATATTTATTGAGGTTTTTAAACCTCTTAATAAGAGTTGATTATGTAATTTATTATACTTTTCTAAAATTAACCCAAAATAGAAAAATAAAATAATAAAAATTTTACATAAACAATTGAATATTTGTTGGTTAAATTTTCTATAGAATGGATATGTGAAGAGTGAAATATGAAGTATAGTCAAACAGTATTATTTATAGAATGTGAAATCAAATTTAAGTATTAGAATAAATTCTTATACTTACGAATCAAATTATTTATTAAGTATAAAACTATAATCTTGATAGAAATGTGAATCTATGCCAAATACTATTATTTATAAGTGTATTTATAAGTTTAAACCCAATTTATTTATAAAATAAAATCTAAATTTATTTATAAACAAAAGGATTAGAATTAAATCAGATTTTAAAACACAAAATTGCAGTGCGAAGCTAATTTATTTATAAATACAAAATTGATATTTGTATATAATATATATGTAAATCAATATGTTCAATTTACTTATTAGTAGTAATTTCAATCATTATTTAAACTAAAAAAAAATTATAAACTGAAACATATAGAAGATTTTTTTCTTATTTGATATTATAATTTATTTAAACTAGACACAGAGTAATGTTTAGAAAATAAAGTATATAGTAAAAACAAAAAAGTCTAATGTTACTATTAATCTAATTTTTGTTGCTTAGATATTAACTTTATAAAATCTGGTTTAAAATACTATAATACTGTTACTAATTAAAGACAAGTTTTTATATTTAGCAAATAATACATTTTAAGCTCACAAATATAAGGTAATTTCAGTAGTTAAATTTATATATAAAGAGAAGTCTTTATTATTGATCGTAAAAAAATTATAGCTTTATTATAAAACTGCTACAATGAGATCTAATAAAAAACAAAAAGTCATAAAAAATAAAAGAATTTCAAATAATGATTAGTCTTCAGAACTTACTAAGTTTTCAAATAATGAAAGTACTGAAACTATGTATGATAATAAACAAAGTATATCAGATACTGGCAAAAATTTATCTCACAATTCTAACTCTATTTCAGATGGATATAGATCTTTATTGAAAGCAAGTGCTAGCAAGTTAGGTATTCAAGTTTGGAATTACTTTTGACCTTTGGAGCATATAGAAACTAGAAATTGTGTTAGTTGATATTCTTTAGAAATTATTTGAAATTGCCAAAAGCAAACTTGTAATATGATTTGTAATACAGGTAGTTTAACAGGAAACATGTAGAACCATCTTTCTAGTATATATAGTATTAGTAAAGATTCTAATTTGAAATCAAAAGATCAGTCTAAAATTAATGTCATGTTTAAAACTTCAGCTAATAATTCAAAATACAAACAAAATCAAAATCAATCTTTAGTTGAATAGATTATTAATAGTGCACAATCATTTAGTGTTTTGGAATCACAAAAATTTAAAGTATTTATTGCTAACTTAGATTCTTATTATGAATTGTCTACTCATAAAACTGTTAAATTAATGATAAATAGTGATTAAAATTTTTTTTTAATTTTTTAAAAGAAAAATTAAAAAATATTACAATTTCATATTCATTTACATGTGATATTTGAACTAGTAGAAATTGTGAAGCATATCTTGATATCACTTGTTATTGGGTCGATCAGGATTTCAAGTTGAATAAAGTTTTACTTGCTATTATACTCTGCCCTTATCCTCATATAGCAGAGAATATTTATGATAATTTAATTAAAATTATAGATAGTTGGAATATATCAAATAAAGTAAAAACAATTATCACTGATAATGCCTGTAGTATAGTTAAAGCTCTTGAATTAATGAAAGTACAAGGAATTAGTCAAATTAAATGTTCAACATATATACTACAATTAGTTGTAGAAAAAGGTTTAATTCTAGCTAAAACTCTTATTGCTCATACAAAAAGATTATTTTTATTTTTTATTTCTCTAAAGCAATCAGAAAAACTTGAAGATGCTCAGAGAAAGTTATTAATTTCAAAAGATAAGGTTTATTAATTACATATTTGATTTAATCAAATTCTAAAAATTCAAATTCTAATCATATATACTAGTATAAAATCAGATTATTATATATTAAAAATTAAATTTATACAATTTTAATTTATAAACATCTTTGGTTAAATTTAAATAATTATCCAAATTAAATATTGCTATATAATCTTATAATATTACAATTAATACTATCTAATTGTATATTATTTCTTTCTAGATATATAAAAAAATTTAACTTTTAATTATTAACTTTTATAATTTAAATATATATACTATCTATATATATAAAAGGTTTCTAACAGATTTTATATAATTAGACAGTATCAACTGTATTTATAAAATATAAAACTAAATATTTATAAGTTAGTACATATTGATAATAACTTAATTATTTATAACTTTAAATATAATTTTATTATAATTTTTAATATTAATTCTCAATTTTTAGATATTTAAGAAAACTCATAAATATTTGCACATTATTCAAGATACTGAAATAAGGTAGAACTCATCATATCTTGCATGGAGATATCTGTTGTATTTGCAAAATGCAATAAATATAGTAAAAGTAACAATTGCACAATCTAATGATCTCCAAATATGAAAAGAATCAAAACATCTTTAGCAAATAATGCTTATTAATTTAGAATAGAATGCATTAAAAGAGTTAGTAATCATTTTCTGTCTATTTGCTAAAGCAACAACTTATTTAGATGCTAGCAAATCATCAATGATCAGATTTATTAATCCAACCTTGGTATATATAAAGCAAGATTTATATAGTGAAAATCTTCTATCTTATAATTTACTAAATTTTGAAATTTTGAAGACAGCTTTTGATGATGAAATTAATAAAGAGAATAAAGAGTCTGAAACTTAACAAAAACATAAAATAGATATTAATACTCTACAAGATTGTGATAATTTAGAAAAAAAGTTCAAGCTGCATTGTATAAAGTTTTAATTATTTATAATATTGCGATTATAATTTTATAATTTGCATTTTTATTTATTTATTTATTTATAATTTTAAACTTATTTATTATATATTATATAATTTAATTTATTTACTGTAGACTCTTGAAACATATTGGAAATCTTCAGTTGATGATGATTTATTATCTATATTATTAGATTTACGTCATAAAAAACTCAAATTTATAGATTTTTTTGAACATAAATATGCTGAGGATACTTTAAGATATGTATATAATAAAGATATTTAAAATTTTCAGAAAACTTCGCAAGCAAATTCAACAATTATTGAATCACACAGTTTAGATGAAGAATTATCTGCTAAATCACTTAAAAAAAATTTTTCTCATCATCTCAAAATAATAATGAAGTCAAAAATTATCTTCAACTTAGTGAAATTGATGTAGAATTGGATGCTTGTACTTGGTGAGCTGTATATAAAGATAAATTTCCTAGCTTAGCTACTTTGCTTATGAAAATTTGGTTATTCAAGCTATATCAGCAGCAAGTGACCATCTTTTTTCCAATACTGAAATTGTAATAAGTACTCATCAAACAAATTTAAATCTATTATTATTTGAGCACATATTATTTTTAAAAAAGAATTTGATTTATTTAGGAAATATTTGGCCAAAAACTGAATAACTTCTACAAATTTAATTTTATATTATTGCTGCAGATCAAATTTTAGTTTGTATATTAGAAGGGAAGGTAAAATAGTCTTGTATAAATAATGGATTTTGCAAATTTTCTTTTTTATTTGGGTCTATATTTAATATATATCAATTAGCGAAGTTTTTATTTTCTTTAAATTGATGCTAATTATTGATTACTATATATTTTATTATTATTTTACTTATTAAATTAATTTTTAATATACATATAATTTACTTAAAGCAATTTAATAATGATTTATAAATGTAAATTTGTTAGTTCGAAGTTTGGTGATACTCATATTAAGAATTTGCATATAGTATTGCTATTGCGATAGAATAATACAACACACAATGTACTTATCAGAAATACAAGCAGAGTATGATGAATAAATAAAAAAAAAATTTTTTTAATTATGGAAATTATATTTCTTGATTTTAGTATCCCTGGATGCTAAAATAAGACACGTGATGATCAATATAGCATATGAGAATAAATTAGTAATAGATCAGTGATGCATAAATTAAGTAAATCAGTAACATACAAATTAATAAGTGATGCATAAATAATGTTATAATAGAGTTCAAGTGCATGAATAATATTGTAATAAGTATTAATAGAAAGTGGCGTGATGGTAATAAGTTAATTAAAAGTCAAAGGTGCATAAGTGAAATATGATGTAAGCTCACATAATAATTAAATAAATATGGAGTTTGATCTTACAAATCAAACCTCTACTTCTACTAGTTCTTAAAGTAAAAAATTACAAAAAGCCTAACTTGTACACAGTGATGTCTTGAGATAGAAGGTTGAAGTTGTTGCTAAATAAAGAGGCAAAGTGTTAATACTAGAATGAATATAGTAAAGCCGCGAGTGTATAACCAAACAACCAAGCCATTTTGGGCAATATTTTAGAGAAATACACACTTTAATTAACTTCTGCGATACTATAAAATCTGGATACATCCAGATAGATATCCGGATTCTAATATTTTAATACATAAAGAATATCTAGATAGCTATTTTTATAACAGATGTTAATTCAGATATCTGAATTGGTATCCAGATCCAATACTATTGCATACATATGTGGGCTCAAGTACGAATCTTTCTTATATCTACTTCTGATAATACAATATTGTTAACATTAATAATTTCATCATGATTCTCAATTGGCAGTTCATTAACTCCTTTTACTTATCTGGCTTCATGTTTCTCTCACGCTACTTGATTGAATCTCTAATTAGGATTAATGGCTACCTTCAAGCTTGACCGGTTTCTCTCAGCATATCTCTGTTGACTTACATCAACTTAAATTAGTACTGTAATACAAAATTACTCCTTAACTATAATTGTAATAAGTATAGATTTAAAATATAAGATCGATAAAAAATTTTTTTTTCAAAAATAAAATGTCTTCTGTAAGCATTAAAGTTGTACAGTCAAACCCCTCTATAGTCATCTCCTCTATAGTCACAAAATTGATATAATTACAAATTTATTTTTACTAACTATTTATAACTATATAAAAAATACCTCTATATTAGTCACACTTCTTTACAATCACTGTTTTTGTATCCCGAAGGTGTGACTATAGAGAGGTTTGACTATATTAAGTAATAGAAAAGAAATATTTAACTGGCAAATACATCCTGTTATCAGTAACCCCTCATTATGTGAATTTTTTTGTTTATTAGCTACTGAAGAAA